TCATGATATCAACATGTTGGGCATCACTTCCTACGAGGTTTTCATCATTAAAAAAAATTAGCTTTGCCATTTTGTCCACATTCGGGTCCACTTATAAATGTGAGCAAATATTTTCACAAATGAAATTTATTTTGAGCAGAAACAGGAGCAGGTTAACTATTAAAAATTCAGATGCTTGTGTTCGACTTAAAACGACCAACTATAAACCAGACTTGACTAAATTGACGTTACAAGTTCAACATCAGGGGAGCCATTGATATCGTAGAGAAAGTTTATAAATAAAGTTCTTAATAAAATATATGTTATTATTTACTAAAATGCTGTTTTAATACGAAAATATCTCTGACCCAAACGTTTCTTTAATACTCGCATTTTGGTTGATTTTGACCCGCGGCCAAAAAAGGTTGCCGACCCCTGCTGTAGCCCAATAAATAAATTATAATATCAGTTAAGTATTTATGAAATTAGATTGTTAGAAAAATTAAGGGGGCGCAACAATTTTTTTTTAAAAGGGGGCGCGCAGGTACAAAAAGGTTGGAAACCACTGGTTTAAGCAAAAATATGCTCCGAAATTTTCCCTCAAGGCGTATACTTACTCCTTTTTGTCCAGCACATAAATCTAGTCCAGTAACTGAACGAATAGGCCCATATCTGTTCATGCATTACTTATAGCATGAAAACAAATATTTTTCGATTTTTATAGCTTTAATAAATATGCTCATTTAAAGCAACATTTTTTATTTTTACATGTCGTGACCGGATGCGATACCACTTTTGCTTTATTTAATAAAGGAAAGCGTAATGTGGTTAAAATATTTAAAAAAGGATTAAGATGGTAACTAATTTTTCAGAACATAATAACTTAATTTCACTGAACTAGAAGACGTGTTTTTCTAAAATTAATTGAAAACAATAACACAGGAGATTTGGTTTTACGAAATTTTTATTAATTTACAATCATTCCCAATACAATTTTACATCTAATTGTAAGTAAATTTTTTGTAGATTTCCAAGTATAAAACACCTTCTTTTAAAGACATATGTACACTTTACAGGCTTAATAAATAATTATACAATTTTTATTTCACAACTATTCGTAAATTGTTTACACTTTCAACAATGTTATTTATTTAAAAAAAGCGAAAACTCACGTGGATAAATTAAATACTACTGGCTCTCTTTTCTCACGAGGAGATTAATTACATTATAAATAAATACATTTACAAGCATGTGCATTTATTTAAATCGAATAGTTAGTAGGTGATATTGTTTAATTACATTTATTATATTATGTACACGAAAAATTGTACTAAAAATCACAAGAGTAAGTAAAGAAGTGAGACTTGTTTCTCACGACAGTAAAGTGAAATGGTTTACGCACTTCCGGAATTTCATAGAACACAAAAAAGCAATGTCATACAAAACTCATTTGTACCTGGTTAGAATTTAATTTAATTTAGTTGCATCAAAATTTAATTTAAACGTTATAATTGAAGCTAATAACATGTAGGTAGATACTTATTAATAAAAAAAAATTAATAATTTGAAAAATTAGCCTTGAAAGATCCTAAAATAACAAAACTGCTTCCTCAGTCTGATGAATTAAAAAAGTAAGATTCTAAGATTTCATAATCAACTAGCAACTTTATAGTTTTATCTATCTGCGTATCTTTTCATTTATTTATGGAATCTTCCCAAAAACAGAAACGACTAGATTTTTGAAAAATATTTTTTTGAGAAGTGAAAACCACACTTAATTTTTTTTCACTTATCCTGTTGAAGTAGGGGTCTCTAGGCGGCATTTATATGGGTCTCCCGATAGGTAGGAAAAATGCAGAAACCTTTATTTATAACCAATCAGTGACGAAATATTTGTCTTATCGTTATAAATGCGCCTTTTCCCAATGAAAATTATGTCAAATACTGTAGTAAAAGTTGAACTGAACTGAAATTCGAAGCAATTTCTAGCTCGAATATTTTTGTTTCATAAACATGCCATTGTTTTAATTTTATTTCAACCTCGTTATCTCGAATTTCTAAATTTCTCGATGCTTTCTCTAACTCGAAAAGCGAAACAGGATTTTGCTTCTCTTCCACAAAAAAAAACTGAATCTTACATTATTGATTAATATTCTTCTTCAGTGATAATTAGTGGCCTGAATTTTTAGTCATAATGGTAGTTACACATGCATTTACACAGCAACAATCAGCAACAATGTTAAATTGTTATCGACCATTTGGTTGTTGAGTCATAAATAACTAAAGTACAAGAGATGTCTTCAAAAGAAAATTTAAAAGTTTAATGGTAAAGCAGAAATTTTCCCTAACTCGAACTTAATTAGGGGGTTTGACCGTAATTACGCCTCCTCAAAACGAGATCACTTAAAAATGAATAAGGAAAAAGTCAAAACAACTAAAAATTAAAAGAAATCTTCAGAATACGTTTAGATAAATATGTTAAATTTAATGTGTATTAATGGTAATGTACATTAATTTTCGAGTTATGTCATAACTGATAAATGTATACCCGTTGGTTATGATCTTAATTTTATTTTATCGTTCAGGCGGTAATATTAAATAAAAAAAAAAAATAATAAAAGACACCTGCTGAATACTTTTCAAAGAAAAAAAATCTAAAATTCTGTAAGTGCGTAAACGACATTTGGAATAATTAAGCCATCACATTAGCCCAGATTTGTCTTTTCATCCTATTTGGAATTGCGTATGAAGGTCAGGTCATAGTTTTTAAAATTAACCTATTAACGTAATTATACTTACCTGTATCCTAAATTTAAAAACCAAAATAAACAACATCAAAATATATATATACAAACAACCACCTAAAATCGTAAAATTTTTTAATACGAAAGCTAACAAAACAAAATCTATAAATCACAATCCGCTATAAAGCGCACAAAAAGTTATTAATATAAAATTATAAACAAGTAAATAATAATTAAATAATAACAGTTAAATACTATGTATATAAAATGTACATCATTATGCACGTTTCGTGCACTTCGTCTTCAAAAGACTTCAAATAATATCGATGTTTGTCATAAACTGTTATTTTATGTTATAATACGTTATCTAATACTAATACTTTAACAATAAAATGTTTAATTATGATGCTTTGGTTCTTTTCGTTTAGTATTATGTACGCCAGTTAATAAAAACCATCTGTTTTTACACTAATTATTCATAAAAAAAATATTTCATCAATTTTTACAGAATTAACTACCTACTAGGTATATTATATATAACATTAGGTACATAATTAAAACGGATATTTTTTGTTTGTCATTTTGTCGTTTTAGCAGAGTCAAGAATAAGAAAAATGATATATTTTAACGTCTTATGTCGTAAATAAGGTCTAAGCTGGTTGCATTCCTAATAAATTTAGCAATAAAAATGATGATATCAAAAATCATGATGCTCCAAATAAAAATAATTATGATTTAATATGTAGGTACGGTACACTACGTTACAGTACGTTCTAAATTAAAAGTTCAGTTATATTTTCACGGATTTTTTAATAGGATTAGATTTCTAATGTAAGTGATAACAAAATTCAACCAGCTTAGTGCACGGTGAGTTTTTTTTGTTTGTTAATTATAACTAATATCGAGTCACAGTCGCAATTTTTTCAGCTAAACAATAATTGACTAAATACCTGTCTCTATGACGCACTTAAGGCGATAACAGAGCAGACTAAAGTTGTACTCGTATCACGTACCACTGTCAGGATTGTCACTGGTGGGTTTATCTAGGAGGCTGTTATCACCACCGCCTGCGTTACGATCGACTCCTCCGAACATGTCCTTCGCAATCTTGTCCCACGTATCCTTGTTCTTCTGTATCTGACGAGTATTATTTGCAACAATGTCGTCCGGTTGACCGTAACTAGGAGGATTCGCGTAAGGATCGTAACCCAAAACGGATAGCATAGGAGCGAGATCGGCCATGTCCCGGATCACGTCGTCCGGAAAATGACCTACCCATTTGGACAATGCCTCTAAATTGACCGGTTTGATTACTTGATCCGAGGAACGTTCAACCCTGAAACAATAAGAAATGAAAGTTTGTTAAATCAAATCGTAACTTGGTACTTAATTATTTATGTTAATGGTTTCAAAATCGTGAAATATCTTGTAGTGGAGTAAACGAAGGTTATCACTTCGGAAAAATTTGTAACCAGGTAGACTTTGGTGAACAACATTCTTCAAGTAAGCTAGAATAACGTAGTGAAAAGTCTACTGAAAAAAAGTGTCCGCGTCCTATTTTTATTTAACATTTTAAAACCAAAAATACGGTTTTTTGCGAATAACTTTTTAAGTTTTATTTGTACGTAAAAAAAATCGGTTGTCTGTAAAGTCGGTTTACTGACGATAGTTGAACGTGACAACGTCATAAGAAAATACTGATGGAATGGTTTCATTTTTCAAAAGAAAATTTTAATTTTATTTGTTTGATAGATATTTTGTATGGATATAGAGAAGGAGGTAAATGGAAAT